AACATTTGTTATAAAAAATATTTATATTTTTTTATACTTTCAAAATTCTACAGTCCATCAAATTGGTCTCAATTTTTATTATATTAACAAGTTAAGGATTTAATTGTATGTATTGCATTGATGTTACCTTTTTGTACATTACGTAAATAAACAGATATCGACATGTGTAGGTTCAAACAATTATTAAGAAAAGTCACATTTACAAACTTGTCTAATGAATAAAAAATAATACCGTCCCTTAAATTAATATGAAAAGATTTCAAGGTACGAACCTTACAAACAATCACATTGTTCTAACAGCCGAGAGAGATGAAACTTAGGTTCCCAGGTGCAAGCTAATCCTCCAATGAAAACTGCGATTCCGTGTCAAGAATTATAACACACTGTATAAGAAGGGAGGAAAAGAGAAACTCACTCACAAGCGCACGGTCACCGAACACTAGATTGAGTTGTGACGGCCTGCCCCGCTGCGTCGAGAAGCTGCGCGCGCCTCTCTTTTTTCCCCCACTACTAGCAACTGGCCCGGGACTGAGAGACTACTGATAGACTTAAGTCCCGATTAAAACTAGAACTTCAAGAGTATTTTCGATTAGTTTTGAACTTTAAACGCGTTCTACTAGTATACACAATGCTATATGTCATAATGGTACCACGAATTTAACGTTAAGAAGAATTTTGGTATAATATTTGCAACTATCTGCAATACACATACACACACCCACATATATGTTGCCAGTAGCGACATATTAATGTTTTCCACGCAGAGATACAAGACAGAAACACCAAAACACTTTACATTGTCTTATTTTCTTTCAAATATAAAAAAAGACAGATGTCCAAGCAATTATATTCATTCGTTATGTCACTTTATATTCACTATATAGTTCTCATAGAAAATAAAATAAAATGGTACTTAGGAATGCTCTAAAATTAAACACAGATAATAAACTCTGTAGTTGAATGTGTGTACGTATTCGCGTATATTCATGTTTTATGTATAAATTATAATAAAAGTTTTCTCCAAATATGAGGAAAAAAAAAATTTTCCACATTCTTGCACTTTTATACTACTTATCAGATACATTTGTTAAATTCACATTGCGATAGTTTCTTGTTCAAAGAAGCTTGCTTTCATTACGATGTCGTTTCATAGCCATTGCTAGTTCTATCCTCCACCCACAGGGGTCCAAGGTGCCCCAACCTGCTTGGCTGATTGAGACACCAGCCTGGTTCCAACACTACCCTCTTTACCCCCGCCCTCAGTAGTACCCTTCTCAGAGCGACGTCGAACAGTCCGGCATTTAGATGCGTTCCGTTCTTTCTTACGTTTCTCCTTCTTCCCGTGCCGACCTTCCATCGGGCTCCCTTTCAGGCCCCTTACTACTTCTATTCCCTACCACCAGCGTTCACCAGGCTGCTGTGACTCTCAACTCAATTTCACTCCTTTAAACGAGAAGCGGTAGACAGCGCGGAGGAGATTAGCTGTTTGAGTACAAATTGAACCGGTTAATTGATTCTGCAGGGAGAATAAAAGAGCTAAGAGGAAATGAAATCACAAAATACGTTTTTCCCTTCCTTTTGTCTATTCTTAGATGAAATAAAATATTGTGAAAATCGTACCCAACTTTTCTAACCTACACCTTTCATTAATCGGGCAAATTTTTAAAAATACAGTTGTTCTATATATTTTCGAGTTCTCGTTTTTAAAGAACTATTTTATAAGTCTTCTCATTTAAAGTGAATAAGAAGTTTAAGCGA